CTTCTCCGGCGAGCGGCAGGCAGCTAGGGTTTGTGGTCTGGTGTGGGGGTTCTATTTATAACCCCTTGCCTTTTGATCTCAGCCGTCCATTTTGTTTTAATATGGGCCGTCCGTTTTTGATTAAATCTGGGCCGTCCTATCGCACACTTGATTTGGGCCGTCCGATCGCGCCCACGCGGATCGCCAACGTGGCCCTTTTTGGAACGACATGGTTTTGCCACGTGGCAGGTCCCGGTTGGCCGGGACTGCTGACCGAGCCTGCTGACGTGGCTGCCGACGTGGCTTTTTTTTTTTTTTTTTTTTCTTCTCGGTCTGGGCGCTACAAATGGTCGATATAATTTTTATTTTTTAAAAAAATAAATATATTAATAAAAAATATCGCAAAAAGTAAAATATTTAAATATGTTGTGATCAATCAATTATAATGTGTAACAAGTTTAAGCATCTTAATTATTTGACTAATGCATTAAACATAATAAATATGATTAATCGTCTCAAACTACATAAATTTTTAAACACATAAATATCTTTTTCCCTTATCCCACTAAAAGAATTTTTGATATTTATATTTTATGCAATTTAACGATGATCTTGCTAACTGCTGTTAAAAGTTTCAACTACGGATAAAATTATGTTATGCTTTCTACTGCGATTTTAAAATTGTGGCTAAAAGTACAAGTATTTAATTCTAAATTAAAATATAATATTAAATAATTAAATACACATTTTTCAATATTCAAATCTATACTTTTTAAGCATAAAACAAAATATTCATTTACGTTCATAAAAATAATATGTGAATAAAACTATTTTCAAATAATATATATAGTGTACTAATTCGGTTTTATAAATGTCAATTTATGCAACCTTACATATGTATCATGTTAAAAAATCATACAATGTTACGTATACGTGTCAATTTATAATGTATGTCTATCATCGGATGATGTATCATAACTTACATATGATGAATTATATATGGCCATGACTATTACTATTGTTAACCTATTAATAAATTAAAAATATAAGTATTATTAATTTAGTTTAAGTAAGGTTACCTTTAAAAAAAAAAAAAAAAAAAAAAAAACCTAAGTAGCATATCTATCTAAATAACACAAAATATTTTAAAATTTATTCACAACTTTAATTTTTAAAAGTATGAAATTTTATTTAGAAAAGGGATGTCATTGTCCACTTCGGATAAACCAATTTAAATGATTCTGTGTTTTGATTAGATTTCGGGTCGGGTTTTATTCTGTCTCTGGGCTGAATTTTGATTTCGGGTCTAATAGAAATTGATTCTGGGTTTTAATTTAATTTGGGTCAAACCAATTTAAAGGAATGGGATTAAGGGAAGAAGGGAATCGGCTTTTCATTTGGGTTTCCCTTTTCTTTCTTTTTTACTTTATCTTTTTTTTCTTTTAAATTTTTTTTTTATTCTTCCTTTTAATATAATAATAATTAATAATAACAATAGTAGTAATAACAATAAAGAAAAAAAGTAAAAATAATAATAATAATGATAATATTTTTTATATAATACTATATGGAGCACCAATTGGGTACAAAAGAAAAAATATATATATATTAATTAATTAAAAAAAAAGGAAGAATGTAGAGAGAAGGAGAACAAACAAAGCTGCAAAGAAATATATATATATATAATGAAATAGCATAAAAGAAAAAAGAATTAAATTAAATTAATGAAGAAAAATGGAAGGGTGGCGACCAAATATGATGTTGGTGTGCTACATGTGACAACACGCACTGATTCAATCATCAGTGCTTGACATTTTCGGTGACATGCGTACGATGATACATGGTGACGTTAGCGACCGAGACAGCATATCCGAAAGTAAAATTCATTTCTAATTTTGTGCAATATAATTTCTAAAATTATTCATAATTTAATATATATGTTTTCTATTATAAACGATAAAAATTATCCAAACGATATTCGGATTTTCGAGAGGATCGTAGAACGAGTTAAAAAAGATTCTCAAATCTATCCTGATCACACCGTAGGAAAGAACTATATGTATTCTGTATAGAGACATAAATTATATGTTTATGTAAATGTGTATATATATAGTGCATTATGTGTGAATATTTAAATATATGTAAAATATAATATATGTAATTAGTATGTCTCATTTATATTTGTTTGTGTTTATATAGTATATATATATATATATATATATATATATATATATATACACACACGTTGTTATGCATGTGTGTGTGTGTATATAAAAATATATGATAAATGAGATATGAATTGATAAGAACAGAGCTGATAAGAATAAATACGTGAATAAGTATGTATATGATTGTTGTGTGTGATTGTGTGTACGTGTTTAAATATGAATGTGTGCATATGTATCTATAGAAATTGTGTGTGTGTGTGAATATAAATATATATTATGTTTGAGACATGTAGTAAAGATACATGTCTGCATTGTAATATATATGTGTGTATTAATATGTGTGTACATATGTTGTACATGTGAAATGTATAACCAATGTGTGTATGTGGAATTTAGGTACACTGCACTTACTGTGTGATCTTGTGCAGATATACGACGCACTGTACTTTTTGTGTGATCTAGTACAATTGTATGAGAAATCTGAGTATCTTGTACTTACTATGTGATCTGGTACATGATGACTTAGAAACTGGCTTGCAAAATGTATGGTTCTGATGTGCGTGATGATATCGTGTATTGTCTGTATATTTATGTTTTATTATGCGTAGAATTGAGATTTTATGTATGAAATGAATGAATTAGGAATGAGAGATATTTAAAAAGAGTGTAGAATATAAGGATCTTAGATACCTACTCGTTTAGTCTGAATCGAAGAGAAGAGGGTACGTGTGTGGCTAAAGTTTAGTGAGTATGATGAACCTGCACATAGATAAAGTTTAAAACCTAGTCTAGATGTAGATAGGTATTTGTGAGTGTAGGTCACTTAGCAAATATAACTGTTGTGGCCATTGTGTGATTTGTGTGTGTGTGTTATCCATACGATGGAGAGATCCATTTTGTCTCTCCTTGATGATGGTATAAACGACATCGTGCGATGGTAAATTAATTAAGTTTTAAAAGACTAAATAATGTGAAATTATAAATTTGAGTGGAGTGATACGTGTGTGTGAGTAAAACCATTTTAGCTTGAGGAATTTGTGAATCCATAAGTGTGATTTAAAATGAGAACAAAAATTAAGTTTGAAGAGTGAAGATTAGAATATTTATGTGTGATGAATTGTTTTGTTGTGTATTTTGATTGTAATACTTGTTTGATATTTTTTTTTATGATAAAAATTATTATATTTAACATATTGCATGAATGTATGTACGTAAGTCTCTATCATCAAATTATTTTTATTACTGAACTCGTGAATCTCACCCCAATTCACTCCCATCAGGTCAAAAGAGATGATGAACAAGTTCAAAATCAATAGAAGATGGTGAAGAAATAATTATTCTATTACAAGAAATGTGTATTAAAATATAGTTCCGCTACATATTTAATATTGATATGTTCTATTAGTTGAAAATATTGTGCTAACGTCTGTACCCCATTGACATTGGAGTTCGGGATGTTATATTATATTTATTATTTTTTATTAAAATCAAATAAATTGAAGTATTACAAAAAATATAATAGATCATCATTATAAGCATAATTAATGTTTAAAATTGACTAGTGACTGATATGTTTGACCTGCTTTCCAATTAACAGGAATTACATTATTAGCAACCACAGTTTCACCAGTTCCCGCTACAGTTAACCGGATAGAAAAAGGAGCACGAAGAGTAGAGGCGGAATTAAGTTTCCAAAGGGCACCCCATAAATTTTGCATGGTAAGCCAAGTGTCTGAGTTTAAAGCCTGTTTTAATTCAACTTTAGTAAGCTCTCCATCTCCATCTACATATTCAATTAGGGTGGCAAAATAATTGGAGGTGGAGCCTGAATCAACATGGAAAGTCATTGTCTTTCCATGATAGTTGCAGTTTACTCTGTTAAAATTTTAAGGAAAATATTACGTATTGATTAAAGAAACGAAAAATAAACAGTAATGAGAAATTATTAGTTTACTTTCTATATTGGATTGTTAACTTTCCAATACTGCGAAGTTGTTCAGCACCACCAGAATTGGCCATGGCTCCAAAAGCAGTACCACTTAGATCGAAATGAACTGAGTCTGATGCGCATGGACCTCCTGGGCAATTATCTGTAATGACTACAATAACTGGATTTCCAGAGCATGCTTTATTTACATCAGATGTGCACTTGACCTTAATAAAAACATTCACCAATCCTTAGTTACCAGCAGCCAACAATAAGAATCAAATGTTAAATATATGTATATTTCAAAGGAAAGTCTACCAATATTTTCAAATTTATTCGTCACTTCATCAAGCTATTATTTGTACTCATAAAATAATATATATATTTTTTTATTTCTCCTATTATATATATATATATATATATATTATATTAAGTTTAAAGTTTACTTCTATCAAAATTATATTTAATTTACATAAATATTATAACACTGAAAATTTTTTAGACACACAGTTGCTAATTAAACAATCACATTTTGATAATGAGGAAATAACAATTATTGATTAAACTTTTTAAAATTTTTTTTACAAAATATGGTAAAGAATAAAATTTTTTAGAAAATATAATTTTATAGATATACACTCATTATTTTAATCAATTCGATTTTAGTTCAATTCTCGTTAGTAATGTTTTAAAAATAAAATTATAAATTCACAATGCTACGTGGAAGGATTTACTTTAAAAATCATTTTAAGTGTATTAAAAATTGAGTCGAGAATACTTTTTTTAGGTAAAACTAAAAACAAAATCCTAAATGTTAGAAATGAAGATCGTAAGTTGGTATATAAGGTACCTGGTAACATGCTCCACATCCATGGCATCCTTTGAAGAGGGAAGGACCTCCTGCTGATACCATTGAAGAGAACGGAGGTTGACCCACAATATTCCCAAATCCACAAGCTCCACCTATATGATATACATATATACATGTTAGACGAATGCAGTATATATAATGGTGTTGTATGTGTGTAAATAGGAGATTACCATCACTACCAGCACCATTGGGGCTACCATACCAGGTAGCAGCAGCAGGTGACCAATTAGAATCAAATTGTGAGAAGGAAAAATTATGCAATTTAGAGCAAAAACAGTAAGAAAAGTTAAACAACATACAGAAATACACAAATAAGAAGTATAATGAGTATTTAAAAGCAAATTCCATGATGTTGAAATTAATATTATTATAATCACTATAATTTTAATATTCCTTTCTGATTTAGTTTGAAGGAGAAGTAGCCAATATTTATATAGGGAAGAGACCATTGAAATCCTTGATCTTCTTAATCAGAATTAATTTTATTTCAATTCTATGAGATCATATTTTTCTTTTCTTTGGAAATATGATATCTCTTTGTAAATTTGTTCAAATTAATTATTGGTGAAGATTTTTACATTCAAGAAATATATTTATAGATGTTCAATCTACTTTAATTCCTATTCAAATTTTATATCTGAGCTATTTGATATGTAAAATTTAATAAATGTGTTGCATAATTTAATTAATTTTATTTAAAAATAAAAAAATTATTGAAAAAACTTAACTTGAGCTAGAAATGGAATTAGAATTTTATTTTTATTCAAATTTATAGTATATATTTGTATTGTGCTCTTATTGGTATTTTATTGAATTGAAAGTTGAAAAAAAAAATTAAGTTTTATGTTACTTCCATTTCAAGTAGATAGGGTGATATTTTATGACATAAATATCTTTTAGGATTTAAATTTAGCATCCATAAATTGCTATTGATATTGAGAAACTAAAGCTTAATTTTTTTGAAGCATATTTAGATGAGTAGTGATGCTCAAGAAGAAGCTGAAGAGATGCCCAGTAGAGCAGAGAGACAGNNTATAACTAGCCATAAGCTTATGAAAATGAAAGAAAGAATAAAGGAAAAAGGAATGGAAGATAAATTTTAGTTCTTCACACATAAATATTAATAATTTTCACAATCAATCATTTCAATAAATATTCTCTCCATCTCAAAACATATATCATTATATAATATACTAAAAAGGTGAGGGGAAAAAATAAGATAATTAAATTTATGGCTAAAATTTTAGGTATCTTTTCTATATATACATATATATATATATATAGACCTTCTCTTGCAGAAATTCATATAAACAGTACTAGATTTTATATACAAGTAGCCAAGAAAAAAAAAATGGCTCAAGCAAGTCTTTGTGGGAAGATAAAATGTGAATTAGATGTTAAGATTTCTGATGAAGAATTCTATAATATCTACTCTCGAAGAATGTATGAGATGGCTAAAATCTCTCCAAAAATAATTCGAAGTGCAGAATTACTGAAGGGTCAATGGGGAGAAGAAGGTTCCATTATCTATTGGAATTATAATTTAGGTAAGATATACATCTTTAATGACTATATATTAATATGATAAGAGTATAATATATTAAAATATTTTATTTTTAAAATTTATTATTCTTTAAACAATTACTACTGAACGTATATATTAAATTTCAATATATATGATAGTAAAATTAGATATTAATAATCTTTATTATTGGTGTATTATTATTGTTGAACTTTCAAGCCATTAAAAGCGTTAACAATATTTTTTTCACATCTATTTACTCCTTGGTGAAGAATACCCAATATATTATTTTTAGGAAAGATAGTTTACATCTGAACTCGTTTAATCTGATCCGTTCAAATTCTATTATTTACGTTTTCTTTTTTTTTTTTTTGTTAAAAATGTGAGTTTGGATCAAATCGAGTTCAGATTAATAAGAAAAGAGATGCAAATAGGTGCGTGTTCGTGTAGTTTTAACCTTCTAGAACCTGTTTAAATTTGATCTATTGGATATATATTTTTAATTTTTATCATTACACATGTAAAGATAATTATATTAATGAATATAATAAAGAAATATTAGCAAATATAATTATATTTATATTGATAACATCAGTATATATTATTATTTGTATATATTAATAAATATTTTTTTATTTTTTTATAAACACAAATATAATTATATTTATATTAGTATAATAAAATGATCAGATTAAGTTCTTGTTGAATATCCCGCAAACCCAACAATGTTTAAAAAATTAAAAAGATTCAAATTTATTCTGAATTCAAAATAGGTTTGGGTTTACTCTTTGTAGAGGAAGATTGAATTCGAATTTATTAAAAAATCTGTCAAACTTATATCTTGCCATCCCTAATTATCCAATATATATTATTTTTAACACAAGCTAAGTGTATATTTATTTATCATTAGAGAACTGGCAACTTACTTATGAATTGTTGTAAAATAGATGGGAAACACTCGACTGCTAAGGAAGAAACAGAAGTGATAGATGACAAAACTAAGACCATAATTTACAAGGTGATTGAAGGAGAGCTGCTGGAGTATTACAGAGCAATAAAGTGTATTGTTCAAGTTACTCCCAAGGAGGATAAAAATGGATGTTTGGTTAATTGCTCTTTCGAGTATGAAAAGATGAATGAGAATATTCCAGATCCAGATGCCTTGTTGCATGCCTTCACTCGTATCGCCAAAGATGTTGAAGCATACCTTGCGAAAGCTTAGCCGCAAAGATCTAAATAACTATATAAAGACTTACAAGTTAAGATATTATATATATGTGTGCGTAGCAACATCTAAATGATTATGTATTAAGTGATGCTTACATGTAAAAGATATCTAGTTAACCTTCGGGCTAATGAAGCGTGAATTAGTTCGTGTATGGGTATCATGTGAGTATGTGGAAGATGTCTTCGTGAGTATTATTCTTAAATAAATTTAATGTCTTATCTTTTATTAAAATTTTAATTAATTTAAATTATTTATTATTTAAAAAACTAATAAATAATAAATATTTATAAAAATTTGTGTTTATATTTTTACTATAATTTATCTGTTTATATTTATATATTAATTATAATTTATCTATTTAAAAATAGACATGTTTACTAAAAATTTATATTGAAAAATTCATACTAATATGTAAAGTACAATTTTCAAAATAAAAGTCCATAGTTGATTTTGTGAGAATGAGTATTTTGACCTCAATAAAATAATTTCATTGTTTTTATGACAATATAAATATGTTATGTATGATTAAACTTTGAAAAAAAATTCATAAAATAAAAATTACAAATATCTTGTCATTTTTTCATATTCTAATGAATAATATAAAATTCCATAAATTTGTACATGAAAATTTTTTGAAGTAAAAAAAAAAAAAAGTTACTGAAGCAATAGAATCGTTTACATTGCCCAACATAAATGTCCAACGAGAACAACGTTGTCCAACCAAAATGTAATCAGGAAAAAAAAAAAAAAAAAAATTCACTAGAACAGCAAAGACATGCCCCATCAGTCATTTCATTTTACCCACAAAACAAAGTTAGAATAAAGAATTTGTATTATAATATTGTAATTATTTTTTAGCTTAAATTATGTATTTTTAGTAATTTTATATCAAATTATTGATAGTATATAATTTTTATAAAATTCAATAATTATATATTTTTAAATTTAATAATTATATATTTTTATAACGTGAAAGCGAAATATCAGTTTATTTATTAGTATATATCGTAAAAATATATATTATTAAATCGTGTGTAATTTATGTTGCTTTATAAAGTAATTATGTAACACCCAAATAAAATAAATTTTTATTTTTATTTTTATTTATTTGTTTGATTTTTTATTTTATTTAATTTAATTTAATTTAATAAAAATAATAATAATAATAGTGATAAAATTGGGTAAAAATATTATTTGGATTTAATTGAAATTGATTTTGGGAAAAAGGTGTGAAAATTTAGATTTTAGGGGTATTTTTTAAAAGAAAATCGGAAACCGGGGGGTCAAAACACAATTTAGAAAAGTTGTGCCACGTTAGCACCACATCAGCAGCCCACGTCAGCGGCCCGGTCAGCAGCCCCGGCCCAACCAGGACGCGCCGCGTG